AATAATATGTTTCACTTGTTTCCCTAACATTTCCAACTGTGTTTATTTTCACTAATTGACTGAAAGTTTTTACCTGCTCTTGTTTAACAGCAAACATCATGTGCCTGGGGATTTTTTTCGGCACATATAAATGTAGTAGCGGCAATATTTGTCAACCAAGTGGAGACATATTTATTCTTTGAATGTCTCTGGGCAGTTATAGCCTGGAACCCTGTTTGTACTTTGTACAAATTCCTGAAACAAACACACCTGTTTATGATTATTTTATGTTTCAAAAAAACATTTTTTATTATAAATACATAATTTGTTAAATTTTTGCTTACAAATGTTAACATTAATATATTGTGTTCTGCGTCTCTCAGGATCTGCTCCAAATCAGATCGTACGTGTACGCAGAAGAGCCAAATATTGATATCCACAACTTCATCGGAACTTTTACCAGGGTGAGTGTTTATTTATTATTGTTATGCTCTGTTTATAAAAGCTCTAGTTAAAGTCAGTTTAATAACGTAAAGATCAAGAGACCGCAGCCACAACAACTGTTTGATGGTTAATTCATTTAGTAAAAAGGAAACACTATTTATTTCATATTCAGCTCAAATAACTTGAAAAATGTCATGTTAGAAAATTCAATTTCTCAAGAATATACATTACTTTTAGTGTTGAGCATTTTTCCAGAATATTCTGGAAAAACACGACATTTACTAAAACATTTTCCGGTAACGCAAATGCAGCTTCCTAACTGCTGCATTTTCCGGTAACGCAAATGCAGCTTCATAACTGCTGAAAAACAACAACAACAACAAAAAACAGGTTTTCTGTTGTACAATGGCGTTAAACTCTTGACAGACAGCAAAGTGCTGCCACCTGCTGACCAATGTAAGGAATAAATGTTCCGTTAATGCTACTCTGAAAGAGAAACGTGGTTTAACAGATATTTGATGATTCCAAGATGGAGTAAAGTTATAAACTAATACTGCCATTACTACTACTACAACTAGTACTACTACTAATAATAATACTTTGTATACTAATAGTTCATGTCAGATACACAGTAAAGTTGTCCTTCCTGATGTGACATCTAGTATTCATTTTGTTATAATTCTGTTTTCCCTGCTGGGAATTGAATCTTTCCTGATCTAAAGTAATCCTGCAGTAATCTGAATACTACATTTTTATGTCCAGCTCAGAGATAACAGAGTACTTTTTGTGTACCCTCCTCTTATGTTGTATATTTCCATGTCCTCTTCCAGGAGGATGGAGACCCCCCAGTCAACGAGAGCCTCAGCATTGAGAACACTCTGTGGGCCAGCACCGTTATCGCCTCTGGTAAATATCTGTGCCGACAGAGTTTGTAACCAGGTGGTTCGCCCCACACTTTGGGCACCACTGCTGTAGCAGTAAAGATAATGGGTTTTTTTAAACGTTCAAATCTGTGTCCTCTTTTGTTGACATCGCAGATGAAGAGATTATTTGACATCATTCTTTTTACTGATAATGAACTTGAAGCATTTGTTTCTCTCTGTCCGGTCAGGCACAGTGGTGGGGGTGGTGATTTACACAGGAAAGGAGCTGCGCAGTGTCATGAACACCTCCAACCCTCGGCACAAGGTAAAAATGGTGACGTTGCGTCACTTCTCCTGCCCGCAGATGTGATGATGACGCAGACTTTAACATTTACGGTTAACAGTTAAAAAAAGAGGTTTAACTAAATGTCAAAACTATGTTTATGTTTTTATTGTATTTAGTGTACAGAGGTCTCTATGAACATAATTTGTCTCAATTATATATTCTTTACTAATATATTGCACATATACACTGTTCTAATATTTCCCTCTGTTCCTTTCACAGGTTGGTCTGTTCGACCTGGAGGTGAACTGTTTGACTAAGATCTTGTTCGGAGCCCTGGTGGTGGTGTCACTGGTCATGGTAGCCCTACAGCACTTCGCTGGCCGCTGGTACCTCCAGATCTTTCGCTTCCTGTTGCTCTTCTCTCACATTGTTCCCATCAGGTAGGAATACATTTGAGGGTGTTTTTTAGTGTCGCTGCACGTACAATAAGAGCGCTTATTTCATGTTTGATTTTTTTTTTTTTTTTACAGTCTGCGTGTGAATCTGGACATGGGAAAGATGGTTTTCAGCTGGATGATCAAGAAAGACTCCAAGATCCCCGGGACAGTGGTGCGGGCGAGTACGATACCAGAGCAGCTGGGGCGCATCTCCTACCTGCTGACTGACAAAACAGGTGAGAACTTAGCAGAACTAAGGTATCAGTATCAGGCCCGATATATTGTTCAAATACTCAGTCCTGATCTAGTGACTATTAGCTAATCATTTTTATAAGCATGGAAATAGTGCTACATAGTGGAAGTGACACTGGGTAGTTGAGCAGTTGTTGTAAAAGCAGTTTTTGTCCTAACAGCAGGATTAAATATGCAGAGAGTCGCTGCGCCATCTACAGTATACTAAAACATTGGCTTTTACTCCATTGCATGTTTAAGGAAACCCAACCTAAAGAAGTATCTGTGACGGCACTCAGTATCTTTGAGTACACATATGACAATACTCCATATCAGGACAACTCTAGTATGAATATATGAGAGCCCCAGTAACTCTGGTCAACGTGTCGACGACTGGGGGATTGCCCTGTAGTTCGATTTTCCCCCCAGGGCCTGCTCCTTATTGGAGCCTTAAATCATAAAAAGCCTCAAGTCTTACCTTAATACACTGCTATAGTTCAACCACTGCACTCTCCTGTGACTTGACGTCCACCACGTCAGATTTACAGGCCTCATTCCTAATAAAATGATCAGCCATTTCCTCTTGGTTTAAGTAGAGGCACGGCTGAGAGGGGGAGACGGGAGGGGGAGTTAATGTATGTGTGAAGCCCCTGAGGTTTTGGAAATGCTTTTAAAGTGAGTGTGAGGTGTGTTCAGTGTCAAACTACAGGCTTCTGGATTGTGTAAATCCTTTTTCAGGCCCATTATGTGACATGTAAAGTGACCAATGTCCTGCAGGGTATAAAGTATTCAGGTAACTTACAGCCTGTCTTCAGAAATGTAATGAGAACATGTTATAAAATCTTTACCAGGAACTCTCACCCAAAATGAAATGGTCTTCCGGCGCCTCCATCTTGGAACTGTAGCTTATGGAATGGACTCGATGGATGAAGTACAGAGCCATGTGTTCAGCGCATACACACAGGTACAAATATATACTGTACACATTCACACAAAGCAGTTTGAAAACAAACAAAGACTGAATGATTGATCACTGGGAAAACAGTCAAACAAACAGCCAGAAACATTGTTTTAAGAAACACTTCAGTTTGTGATTATTGTTTGGTTCAATGCTTCCTGACCTTCCACCGCCCTCTTTGTCCCCCCTGACACCAGAGGTTAGCGAAGCAGGAAACAGGATTAGCCCACAAGCGAAGCACTGACCGGACTTCTTTAATGATGCTACCATTAACCCCCACACATACACACAGGTACAAATATATACTGTACACATTCACACAAAGCAGTTTGAAAACAAACAAAGACTGAATGATTGATCACTGGGAAAACAGTCAAACAAACAGCCAGAAACATTGTTTTAAGAAACACTTCAGTTTGTGATTATTGTTTGGTTCAATGCTTCCTGACCTTCCACCGCCCTCTTTGTCCCCCCTGACACCAGAGGTTAGCGAAGCAGGAAACAGGATTAGCCCACAAGCGAAGCACTGACCGGACTTCTTTAATGATGCTACCATTAACCCCCACAGCTTTCCAAAAATAGCCACAAAAAAAAGAAGAAAACTTCAAGCTTTATTTACACATCTGGTTATGTTTAAAGTGTCATGTTGCGGCAGCAATTAAAACAGACGTACAAATTCTCAGACGTTAACTCCACTTTAACAGTTGACTCATAAAATACCTCGTTGAGTATTGTGTTTGTACTTGTTTATTTTTCAGATTATCATAACTCGTCCAACTGAATTTGACAGTAAACATCAAAAATGTCTTGTCAGGACAGAGTTTCACTGACTATCAAACTCCTGTGCCTTCATCACTGTGGGTCACCGTGTCCTACCTAATTGTCCACAGCCCACCCATGACCTTCCAGCCTCCAGGGCTCCAGGAGCCACTAAGGTCCGAAAGACCATCAGCAGCAGAGTTCACGAGGCGGTGAAGGCCATCGCCCTGGTGCACAACGTGACGCCGGTGTACGAGGCCAACGGCGTGACAGACCAGGCCGAGGCGGAGCAGCATTATGAAGACGTATGCAGGGTCTACCAGGCCTCCAGTCCAGATGAGGTAGGAACACCAGAACATTTCAACATCGCTGCTTTCTTCTGGTTTAGAATGTTTGTTTTTTGATAGATCTCTCATTATCACGAGGTCGGACAGACGTCTGACAGGATCTAAACACAGAGCACTTTTCATTTCAATCTGCACTGTTCTATAGACTGATGTCCTTGATCAGTGTAAATACTTTGAACCACAGGAACCAGGCTGTGGATTTCAAACTCCATCAGGTTCCTGTGTTGTAAATACGGATTTCCTTCATGTGCCAAACCAGCCTGTTGCACATACCGACCATTTGAACTTCCCTTTTTGGTGTCATTTCAAAATTGTCTTTCTCTGTAAGTAGAACGTGTCTTCACATTGGACTTAATATTGATCTGCTTTTTGTATTTGAGAAGTACTGACACAATGTCAGTGACTGTTGCGTACATGGTTCCTACCACAGGCAACATTCAGTTTTCTGCCTCATTTAAATTGTTTTACAGTTAAAAAAGTTCAAGTAGATCAAAGAAAGATTATGATTTTACTTCATCACTGTCTGCGGTCAGTGACAGTGAAAATGTGGTTTTGGATTAAATATCTGTGCCCTTGGTGGAAACCTCAGATAAACGTGACTACTGTTAGAAACCACTGAGCAAATGTCACTAAAATATAAAAAAAAAATCCGGACCAACTTGTTGTTGACTCGGTCTGTCAGGCTCTCTGGGCCACAACCTATTTCAGAAGAACTAAAATACAATGACATTTCAGACTATTTGCTGCATTAATGAAACGAGGGACTTTGTTAGATTAGGTGAAGTCCCTTGGATTCACACAAGTACAAGAAGGGACCCCATGTACCATCTGTAGAACCTGCACCATTGTTTTAGAATCACTGGGATAGCCGATCTGCATATGAGCACTAAAAAATATCACAGAAGCATGGCTGTTGTTTAGGCGCAGTTTGTTTGTGCTCGACCGACCGTCCTGCAGTCCAGGTCTGTGACTGGATAAAAAAAAAAAGTCTGACACAAGGAAAAATCAAACTTCAGCCATGATGGACTGTTGAACAGCTCAATGTCTTTTTCACAGAGAGAAAGCACAAAAAAATCCACTTGCACAATCATCTCAAGAGATTCTTTTCTTCAGTTCATAAATGATTTAAAAAGTGTCATTTAAATAGAACGGTGACCTGACCCACTGATTAACTCGACTTCTTTCCCAGCCGTGTTGCAGCTTCGTCAGTGAACTCTGTTCTTTGTCCTTTTTTCTCTCGATAAATTACTTTTCCAACATTTAAAAAGCAGCAACCTTTCGGTAAATTGGGCTTGTGTGTGACTCAAAAGAAGAAAAATCATCTCCTTTTATGAAAACCACAGTCAGCTGTGTGTTGGTTCTGAGTCAAGCGAAATGATTGTAGTATTATTCAGTGCAGTTGCGTATCCACTGCCACCAGAGCCCCAGTCATTATTCGTAGACGGTGACTAAGCACAATATTCACATTTCCCAACCTGGATGACAAAGATTACGGTAGCTGCACTGGCTCTGACGTTCATGTTCTCCCAGCGGGGCATCATTAGACTGCGTGGACGTGTATTTCCGAGATAAGTCCTTTTCATGAAGCGTGTGTCGTTTGTGGTTTTGGGGCAAAGCTAACGTGGCAGGCTCAGCTATTAGCTCAGTCAGAACATGAACGATGGGTCAGAAATGTGATCTGACTCCTGGACTTGTGGAGGTTGTTCCTTTCTCAGCACTGGAGAATGTTATAACATTCATTGCACTAATGGATGTCTGTTGCTTTTGACCTTCAAAATGGAGGAGAACTTATGAAAAATCCTTTGAGTTTAGAACTGGACGTCTTACCTTATCAGTCAATAGCTTTTAGTGCTGAAAATGCGAGAGTTATCGATCACGGCCAACAGGGGGTTTCTGCTGTGTACATGAAGCAGCGATGGCAGAATATAAACAGCTTAGGGTCTCACTAAACCCACTGGGTGGCGCTGCACTTATCAATAAAGAACACCCGTTTGTCCATAAGTTTAACACCTCATAAGATTTTAGTGCTGAACTCTATCTCTGCAGAAGTCGGCTTCGTTTTGGTCATAAAAACATTTTGTTTGACACAAGGCTAATTTGACTCTCTAAGTGTGGTAGTGATGGTCATTTATCCAGGTTAAAACTTATTAAAAATAAAGTACTTGCAAATGTATCTACTCACTGAGAATCATTCATTTCTGATTCTAAATAATTATTCACATTAATTGAACTTAAAGTTAAATTTACTCTCTAACCTTATGTTGCTGGAGATAATTAATTTTTACTTTTCAGCTTCTTGGTCAATAATGCTGTCATTGTTTAACGTTTTCTCTCAAATATTCAGAGATGATCCCATTACTATCCTTGTTGTTACATTGTGTTGCCGATAGGTGTCGCTGGTGCAGTGGACTGAGAGTGTTGGCCTTACACTCGTGGGAAGAGACCAGTCATCCATGCAACTACGGACCCCTACTGGCCAAATTCTGAACTTCACAATCCTTCAGATATTTCCCTTTACCTACGAGAGCAAGAGGATGGGCATCATAGTCCGAGTGAGTGCTGGAGCTGCAGTTACCACCGGTTATTACGGTTGTTATTTTATTGTTGTATCAGACTTTAACATAAAAAAAAACAACAACAAAACTAAAGTCATTTCCACTTTAAAAATACTTATTTATTAGGAGTTTCTGGCCTGATAATTATTTTTGCCTTTTGGTTGCAGGATGAGAAAAAAAAAACAGGGATTCCTCAAACTTTATTTAAAAAGCTAAAAAAAAGCTTTTGTGCATTTTTAGGTAATACATATCTGTAAAAAATATTTTACAAAGTTTTCAAAGAGTTTAATTGAGGTAAGGGGATGGGAGTGATAAACTGTGTAAACAAGAAAAACATTATGTTTGGGTTTTTTTGTTTTTTTATAGGATGAATCAACAGGGGAGATCACCTTCTACATGAAAGGTGCTGATGTGGTCATGGCGGGCATCGTCCAGTACAACGATTGGCTGGAGGAGGAGGTAGACGTCTGTCCTTCTTCTCACATCGCTCTACAGTCAATGGGATTTCACTGCTGTTATGAACAACTCGCAGACTTATCTTCAATGTCACCTACTGACTCCAGATGTTTGTTTGTTTTTTTCTCCTAGTGTGGAAACATGGCCAGAGAAGGTCTGAGGGTCCTGGTGGTCTCTAAGAAGTCACTGACGGAGGAGCAATATCTGGATTTTGAGGTAAGTGGCCTGGAGAGTCTGAACTCACTGATCTGAGACCTGTGAGCGACCCTGGCTCGTTTCTATGGTACAATAATAAAGGGTGGTCTTGTGTGAGTCTGGGGGGGCGTTGTTATGCCTCACTTTTTCTTTTTCATTTCATTATAGAACATAAACCTCTGAAATCTGATGAATCTGTTTCACATCAAACTGACTCATGTCCATGTTTGGTATTTTCAAATGTCAGAAGTGTCCTCTGGGGTAATTAGACTGACCTCTGACCCCCCGCCCCACCCGCCCTTCACCCTCAACTTCTTGTCCATACACCCAACCCAGCACACACCCACCCACACACCATTCCCACTCATTGTTCAGGGAAGGCAGGGCCACCTCCCCTGCAGTCTTCATCCCCAGGCCCCGTACTGAAGTGCATTATTGTGAGAGCGGAGTGGGTGGGCAGCAGTGAGTCACCAGCTGAGTCACACACACATAGTTTTTCTTCCTGTATGAGTCATGCGCAGATTATTTTTGCTTTATCTTATTTAAAAAATTGCCCCGCAGCTGGGACGCGACGAGCAGTGAGCTGATGATGGAGGTGTGTTTGTGTCTCTTTTAACCATGGTGACCCTCCGAGGAAAACATGTCTGTTTTTTTTTTTTAAGTCTTATTTTTAACCTTCTGCTCAAACTCTGATGCTGGAAGTTGTAGTGTATGTTTTATATCCTCCTCCTTCTCCTCCACACCTCTCTGTAGGTCTGGTTAGGATTGGTTTGGTTATGGTCAGGTGTGAGGTGTTTACTCTACATTACTTCTCAAATAGTGGGGCGGGCACGGTGAGGTGAGGTGAGGTGAGGTGCCAGGGGGTGCATGAGGGGCTTCCAATGGAATATGTCACGCTGGACATCAGTGTCACCACTGCTGTAATGCTTGAATGATAACAAGCCTCCAGTCACTAGGTGGCAGCAACTCATACAGTGGTTTGTACAGATAAAAAATAAACATGTTAACGGTTCTCAATGGTATTTCAATTCGCAGGGTTGTGGGTTGGGGGGGTGTGAAAAAACATGGGCGCCCGCGGGGGGGGGGGGGGGGGACATGACAGAAAATAATTGAGACTGCTCTACAGTCAGAGTTTAAAGACAGTCGTGAAAATGTTGTGACTTAAGAATCATTTTTCAAATCTTTTTCTTCTTCTTCTTCTTGTTTCGGCTCTTCCCTTCAAGGGTTACCACAGCAAATCACCTGCCTCCATCTCACCCCTCTCTTTTGTCTCTTCTGCTTTAACACCAACCATCTCCATGTCCTCTTTCATGAGCTCTTTCCAGCTCAGCCTTTTGTCTACTGGACAGATCCACTGTTTCTTAACCGTACATCACAGCAGGTCTCACTGCTGTATTTTCCTTTCATCATCACTAAAAAAATGCTTTTACAAATCTGCTAACCACCTTCTGTCTTTACATAATCATATGTTCTTACAGGCTCAATGATCTGGTATCCATAGTGAAGCAACGAGACATAATGTCGTTTTTTGGCGTCGCCAGTTTTTTTTTAAGCAGATTATTTGGTTTGCAGAAGGCAGTGCAATTAATCGAATTTACTTCCTGTGTCGTTCCTCTTCCACGACTCTTACCTGTGTAGATATTTCCATCTTCTGCTTTTTTCATAATCATTTCATCTTCCTCCACTGTAAATTCCTCCCACTCCCCCAGGCGCGGTACGTCCAGGCCAAGCTGAGTGTCCACGACCGCTCTCTGAAGGTGGCCACTGTGATTGAGAGTCTGGAGATGGAGATGGAACTGCTGTGTCTGACTGGTGTGGAAGACCAGCTCCAGGCTGATGTCAGGCCCACCCTGGAGATACTGCGCAATGCAGGCATTAAGGTCTGTAGAGCAACAACAGATGGGCCCGGAGCTCACAGGAGCCACAAATAAAAAAACAAAAACAAAAACAAAAAAAAACATAGAAACGGCATTAGCAACGAAAATGAATAAAAATATTTCAGTTTCAATTTATTTATTTAGAGTGACTTTGCAGATGAAATACAAAATTCCTACATCTGTGGTGTCTTGCTGTGCAAGTAGATTTGGCCGTTTTTAGTGGAATTTCCACCTCTGTGTAGTATTGATGAATGAGATGCAGAGTAAAAAATTAAACAGTTTCAGGACTGTCGTAGCTAACATTAGCTCTGGTGTCTGTACCAGGACTGTCATAGCTAACATTAGCTCTGGTGTCAGTACCAGGACTGTCGTAGCTAACATTAACTGTGTTGTATGTACCAGCAGTGTTGTAGCCAATCAAGTAGAGTTTGTATGCATTGTTGTTATAGCTGGTTTGTCTGTGCAGGTGTGGATGCTGACAGGTGACAAGCTGGAAACGGCCACGTGCACAGCGAAGAACGCTCATCTGATCACCAGAAACCAGGACATCCATATCTTTAGACCTGTGAGTGGAAAACATATCTGTTGTTTCTGTAGCATTTTTAGTTTTTTTGTACCAGTTTACTGTAGCATTGACAGTGGCAACCCTTGGGCCACGCATCCTGTCTGTACCCAAGGCCTATTTGTTTGTGGTCACTCAGCTCCACACAACTACACATGCAGCCCCAGTCAGCAGCATCCACAGCTGAATAAATCACCTCCCACCAGTGAAAGCATCCAGGCCTCTGTCAGAGGGAACAAACAGGCCGTCGCTTGGCCAGAGCGGAGAAACCAGCTGAAACACTCCCACAGGGAACATGCAGCGGGCTCACTTCCTAATTTGTTTTTCAGCTTTCAGGCTGTGTTATTGCTTTGATAGTCCCCTCTGCCTTCCTCTCTGGAACCGTGCCAGAGCCGAGGGAGCGAGTGCCGTATAGGAAGGTTGCAACTTGCGCACAACTGTGGTTACTGGAAGGGAATAACAATGGCTGGCAGTGCTTGAAAACCTCAGTCCCTGAAGACATGAGGGAGTGCTGACTAGGCCTGCAACACATACATCTGGATTGGTTTCCTGATCGCCACCAATGGCCTGAAATGGATTGACGTATGAATAGTCAGCAGCTGAAGGATATTCATACCAGAGCATAACTCCCGTTGACAGATTTACACCAGGGGTTGAAAGTGTTACATATTTGAAGACATTTTCTAAATCTAGATTTGAACTTAGTTTCCTTTTTTTTTCACTTTTCCTCTTTTGTTTCAGACAGCAGCTCCACTTGATCACGAGACACTACATTTAATGTTCTGTATTTAGAATGGGAAACGTAAAAAGGCTTTTAATCTTTATTTATTAAAATATCAAAGCCTTTTCTCTACTTTTTTCATTTCATTTTAAATCAGTGTTCCTCAACCTGTGGTTCCTGAGCCACACGTTGCTCACTAGCCTCTTTGGACCAAAATAACTTTGAGAGTCTCATAGAAGGGCAGCAGACAAGAATGGGCCTTATATTCTTTTTCACAATGAATTATGTTATGTGACCACTGTCATCACTGTTTCTTCACCTTTGAGTTTTGACATGTGTGTCTTGGTATGTGACCACTGTCATCACTGTTTCTTTACCTTTGAGTTTTGACATGTGTGTCGTGGTGAATGTGTTCTGTTTTTTCTTCCCGTTATCGTAGGTGACGACGCGAGGCGAGGCTCACCTGGAGCTCAACGCCTTCAGGAGAAAACACGACTGTGCTCTGGTGATATCTGGGGACTCGCTGGAGGTAAAGTCTTGTCAGGGTATTTGGGTTCCCTCTCTCACTTTCCAACCACTGACTCCACTCTCCATATAAAAGTCAGACGCTGTGTCTGTGTGGTGTCTGATAAATGCTGTTAGTGGAGAATCTGTGGAAGTGGTATCTGTGGTTACTCATTCTCTAAACAGCAGCTGGGGACCAACTGTAGATTAAGCTGAGATTAGTCATAGATTGTGCCCTAATTTACACACTTTTTCTCTCTTTTTTTGCAGGTTTGTCTGAAGTACTATGAGTATGAATTTATGGAACTTGCCTGTCAGTGTCCCGCTGTGGTCTGTTGCCGCTGCACCCCCACTCAGAAAGCACAAATAGTTCGGCTGCTGCAAGAGCGCACAGGCAAACTCACCTGTGCTGTGGGTGAGTAAAAAAAAAAAAAAAAATCAACTGTCAAAACGGTTCTGCTGATTTAGGGCTGAGACTTCAACTTTATCTCGTTTATTAAAAGAATTACAGACACAGTAATGCAATAGAATTTATGTTAGCTGCACACACCCTGATACACACACAGCCCAGTAGGTGGCAGTAATGCTTCTAATGTCCATTTGCCAGTTACAAAGATGGTTCACAGGATGTTAGGAGTGATTGTTTTTCCTGTACTACATACAGTGTATATCACATATACTACTAGAACGATATACTCCATAATTACTTTAATGATTGCAATTATATTTTTATCACTTCCTACTCCTACTTTTTTTAGGAACGGTGAGTTCATTGACTCAAAATTGAACTTATTGTTTTGTCAACGTTGTGTTTAACCATCTGACATTTTAATGCATCCATTGTTTGTCATTGTCATTTTTGATCATATAAGTTTGTGACACAGGAAACCTACCAGGAGGGACGCCAATGGTTAGAAGTTATGCGTCCTTTATAATCCAGTGTCATCATCCTGGACAAACAGAGCCATAAACTTGATCCCTCCTTCAGGTTTAGGTCATTTTAAATTGTTTTGGAAGAGGTCAGCTGAGAAGGCAGCGTTAACTGATTCCTGAGGACTGTTTTTTGTTCATGCACGCCCAGGAATTTGGCAGATGCGTGCGCTAACCATCACCAAATGTGGTTTTTTTGATTGGACCTGAGGACGCATTTGTGACGCATTTGGAGAGTTCAGACCTGTACTTAGAACTGTCCACATGATTGGATTACTCCGGACGGATGTTAATACTCATTTTGGAAGAAGGCTGTGATGTAATCGTCATGGCGGCGATCCAACGTTGAGCAATTATAAAATACTACAGAAAGACAAAAACAAAACAAACCATCAGTAGAAATCAGCAATTTCAACCCACAACAGTTTAATACAGCTGTGCTGTGGAGCAACGAAGGGAGGTGACGACACGGGTTGGACGTTAAATTCAAAGACCTGTACTGTGTTATGGCAGTGGATCCCAAACTGGGGGGCAAGACCCACCCTAGGAGGCATGGAGCTGTTGCGGAGGGACAATGTCAGACAAGAAATATTGTTTACTAAATGTGAAAGGCAAAAATGGGTTTAATATACTTTTTAAAAAAGGATCTAAAAATTTCTACTGGCTGTCATTTCTCACCTTTGTTCGGTCATATTAAAACACATTTGTCTCCCTGCTGCAGCGTTAATCTCTCAATCAGACCAAATCGAGGGAGTGTCTCACCAACACTGGCACGTTGCACTGTTAAGTCACTGATGTGAACATTGACACTACCATTGTTTTCTCTTAGGGGACGGAGGAAACGATGTCAGCATGATCCAGGAAGCCGACTGTGGCGTGGGAGTGGAGGGAAAAGTAAGTCCATCTCCTCGTCTCACACTGATGTTCCTTTCTCACAGATTTTCACTCTGCTTTTCCTGTCGAGATCTTTCTCCCGTCCAGAGACGTGTAGGGGGACGTGTACACAGATGATTCCTCTTTATGAGAGTCTGTTGTTCTGAGTAAAGGATGTAAAGACCACAGGATGGGTTTTGTGCTCGAATTAAAAGTCAGAGTTACTTATCAGCACGCTGCTTTGAGTACTCCCACCCTGCTGTCCATGTCTGGGTCACTTCATGGAGTTAGATTTACGTCACGTCAGCTAAGAGTGTGGAGCCTGTGATTGGTCCACAAACTGGGAGAGTTGACCGCATGGATGTCAGTTGTTGTGGTATTAGTCAAGTCAAGAAGAACCATCATTTTCTGAAAGGAAAAAGCAGAAGTTTTTAAAAATTTAATCGAATATATGGATTTTATTTTTTAGACAAAACATCTGGGTCGAGGACTTGAAGGCAGGGTTGTGAAGGTGAAGGTCAGGATGAGGGAAGATTCCCCCACCTGTGTGAGGTCGAGGGGTGGAGCCAAAACCCATATTTAATTAAATTAATCCAGCTCAAGGTTGGCTGAAAAAAATATTTCATGTTGTTTTAAAATGACTTCTCTTCCTCTTCATTCACTTTTAAAAGGAGGGGTACAGTAAATACATTTTGTTTTGTCAGTGCCATGTGTCCTTCCACTGACATGTCAGTAAGTCAGTCTGTAATCACTTCAACTGACCCATAAAAAGACAGTGTATTTTCATATTATTATCATTATCTTTAAGTACCGGTGTTGGTGTTCTAAGTTTTCACCTTAACTTTAACCAGTCAAACGTTGTACCCTGTACTCAGTCCCTGTTGAGTCACAGTCGGCACAGTCACAGGCGTTGACTCTTCTCTCTAAAATGTGTTCCGTACAGGAGGGAAAGCAGGCGTCCTTGGCTGCTGACTTCTCAGTGACTCAGTTCAAACATCTGGGTCGTCTCCTCATGGTCCACGGTCGGAACAGTTACAAGAGGTCTGCGGCCCTCAGCCAGTTTGTCATCCACAGGAGCCTGTGCATCAGCACCATGCAGGTACAGTATAGATACAATATGGCAAGTCTTATTTTTTGCTTTGATGCAGGTACAGTATAGATACAATATGGTGTTATTTTTGCTTTAACCTTTAAGATGAGTTTAAGCAACGTCTTGTAAATCCAAGACCGATACACTCCTAGTAATGCACTGGTAACCAGTCATAAACCTGCGCTACACTGTGGATTGTTATACAGAGCTACGGAGGCTAAGTTAGCAAGCTAGCTGCTGAGAAGCTCGATCTTGAATTACATCTTTGTTTACTAAACTGTGAAGCTTTTTTGTGGCCTGGTAAATTACTGCCATCTACTGGGCTGGAGGTAACATGTCAGTGTTAGCGCTTGGTGCAATTAGGCGTATGGATTGTACATAAATATGGTGATTGGTTCAGTCAGTCTCTCTGTAAGAGGTTAGGCCATCCATCCATCCATCGACCCATCCATCCATTGACCCATCCATCAATCCATCCATCCATCCATCTATGTGTATTGTTTACAAGTAAGCTACACTGAAGTATACAACTACTTATTTTGAGGATGATGTGAGTCATAGTTTAAATCTAAGTTTTAAAAAAAACATGTTTTTTTTGGTTTTCCACAGTAAAACTCTGAGCCAAAATTATAGCCAAATATTTTACAATGTCTAAAAAAGCTTTTTTTGTTGCATGATATTCCACAACAAATCCAAATGTGAGGGGTAAATGCACGGTGTGAGGCCCAGAGGTTTTGGAGGTGGTCATGGTAGGACGGGGAGGATGACTCACATCAGTGGGTCGCAAGTGCCCTTTGCAGTACCCCACACATACACATAACCCTGTCCCCAGTCCAATGCTAGAGTCCCGGTCCACCTTCGGCCCCCGCGTTGGAAGGCCGGCCCCGTGACTCACTGCATCATGGACTTTAGGGGATGCCCTCCTCCGCACGTCTCAGATTAACGTCTCCCACAGCAGCCACAGCTGTGACCTGTCTGGGTTCTCAGCTGTCCCACGGTAGCTGAGTGGTTGACAACTCAATGCTGGCGTCCTCCGTGTGCTGAGGACACACGGCTCATGAGCTGTAGTCAGTGGAAGATTTTCTGAGTTTAATTAAACATGGGATTTAATTGAATGATTGATCAGAGAAAAAAGGAAGTCAGAAAGGAAGTCTTTAGTTTGTACAAGGCTATAAGACATTTTGTACTTATGAGAGTTAGTAAAAAAATGTTCGACAAAATATATATATATATCATTACAAAGTGTGTTTAATTTTAAATCATTACCACATGTTGAGCCACACATTTCAGGTGCGTCCAGCAGGTTTAACTATGTTTTCATCATCATATTTTTTTTTAAAAAACCAGAACACTGATGATTTAGTCTAAGATCATAGTAATTAAAGATTTTTATAGGTCATAATGTTGGGTAGGTGGAGAAATACTTATTTTATTTTTTTAAAAGTCACTTTTAAATGTTTTACAACTTTTGTGATTTACCCTGCTGTAATGCCGTGTCAGCTGACTAACATATGGCTGACAAATGTTCTCTCTTCCAGGCGGTGTTCTCCTCTGTGTTCTACTTTGCTTCAGTCCCTCTCTACCAGGGCTTTCTGATCATTGGGTAAAGAACAAACTCTGTTACTGATCAAGAGAACGTTCACTGTTTTTCTGTGGCATTTCCTTTGTGTGCAAGAGCGAGGGTTGTGCAGTTAGGGTGGGGGGGAGGGTGATTGATAGATCTGGAAATTAATCTTCACAAATAAATTGTGTGAAACTTGAACCTGCCCCCGTCCTCCACCACTGAGAGCTTTTGATTTGATTTGTTCCAGCTACTCCACCATCTACACCATGTTCCCTGTCTTCTCCCTGGTGTTGGACAAAGATGTCAAGTCTGAGGTCGCCATGTTGTATCCAGAGCTTTACAAAGATCTTTTAAAGGTAGGAGGAAAGAAATAGTTTTGTTTACCCCCTCCCTCTCTCCATCATAATAGTAAATGTTAACGTTTTATTTCCCTTCCTTTTGTTTTCAACAGGGTCGACCTTTATCTCTGAAGACGTTTCTAATATGGGTTCTGATAAGTATCTATCAAGGTAAGATGATCAGAAGTTAGAGTTGGGACTTTAACTATTAGGACTGGAAAAAGTTGCAGTAATAACAACAGTAACCACAATAATAATCAAAATAACTCTGATATAATCATAGCAATAATTTTATGAATAACACAATTTTAATTTGTAATCACAATCAAAGTGATGATAACAATAACAACAATAATAATAAAGTACTAACAGAAATAAGATAGTAATAATGATATTAATAACAATAATACAATTGTATTGGCAACAGTAACCGCTGGGTCCAGATGACATATAAAGAAATGACATTTTTTAAATGTTAGTTTTCTTTTGTGGAACCATGTTTTGTCGTCTGCAGGGAGCATCATCATGTACGGGGCTCTGCTGCTCTTTGAGTCAGAGTTCGTCCACGTTGTTGCCATTTCCTTCACCTCTCTGATCCTGACCGAGCTGCTGATGGTGGCCCTGACCATCCAGACCTGGCACTGGCTGATGATTGTGGGGGAGCTGCTGAGCTTGGCCTGTTACATCGCCTCCCTGGTGTTCCTGCACGATTTCATTGGTGAGTAAAAACAACACGTGTGTCTGACTCTGTCGCTCTCGTCTGGATGTTATTATTGATCTTCACACGACGTCGATGATGATGATGATTATTATTTAGCACTGACTGAGAAACTCCTTCCCTCAAAGGCAGCCTCTGGTGTATAATACTTTATGGTATGCTGGATATTTAGTGGTGAACAAGACTCCAGAGAACTGTAGTATCAGAGAGGAAATGCCAGCAGCCTTGTTAGTTTCCTGTAGGCTGCTGTGCCAGGGGTTTATCACAGAAAAGGTGTGTTCAGTACAATCCATCGCTCACACCAGCAACAGCGTTAGATGTGAACAGCTTTTCACTGGTTAAACATACAGTAAGGACTTCTACCAGAGGACAGAGAGTTTGTGTAACTCCACTGCACTCTCATTGTTCCCAGGCTGTTGAGGTTTTTCTTTTTTTATATATATATATATACACTTGCGTATTCTGAAAAATAAGACATTCTCTATTGTGCAATTTTGAGACTTGTGACATGCACAGTACTCTAACCAAAAAGCCCGGGCAGCCTTTATTTTCAGCTTTATGTGGGGCGTGGAGTTCCATTTCCAGCTCACCATCTCGCCCACTGACGATCATGACTGGCGTGCGGTGAAGCGCTGACACTTTTCCTCTCTCTTGAAGTCAGACGGGAATAGTTTTAAAGGCTATTCTTTTCTTGCGTGTGCAGTTCTGACATCGTCTGTGGGAGTTTGTGTGAAGGTGTTACAGTTACCTTCTTTTTTTTTTTTTTTTTTTTGCCTGTGCAGCCAGAGCTGTGTGAAAGCATCAGCATTTTATCCAGTATCTGTGAAGGTTTACAGTTAGTTGCTAGGAAAAGTCATGTTCAGTATGTAGTTTGTAATAAAAAAAAAAAACAGCTACAGATGATCAGTTCACTGCCAGGCTGTCAAAAATCCCAGTGCCTGGGTTTAAATCAGTTTTTCTAAAATAATATTTTGCGATTTCAGCTTCTTAAAAGTGAAAATGGTCTGATTTTTTTTTTTTTTTTTTGGTTTGGATGAGAGAAAAAAATCCTTGCAGGATGTCGTAATTTTGAGGTCTATGATAAACCAATAGTTTCCATATTTGTCAGCATTTAGTGAACCTGGAGTCTAGTCGACTCGTGGAAAAACTCATCATTTGATTAATCCACTATAAAAATAATCAATAGTTGCAGCATTGGTCACTGAAGTTCCAGAAATTGTTGTGAAGAACTGGACTGTAGTCCTGCAACTCCTGGTTTCAATGGTCTGATTGAAGTGTGTGTGTGTATGTGTGTGTGTGTGTGTTTCTCAATCCCCCCCCCCGTCTGCCTGTGTGTCCGTGTCAGATGTGTACTTCATCACCACGCTGTCGTTCCTGTGGAAGGTGACGGCCATCACGCTGGTGAGCTGTCTGCCTCTCTACATCCTCAAGTACCTGAGGAGACGCTTCTCACCGCCCAGCTACTCCAAGCTGACCACATAATCCCCCAGAGGAGCCTGGAGCCTGGAGCCTGGACCCGGTCTGTGTGGGACCACAGCAGAGTCAGCTTTACTGGGAATCAGAACATGGATTCAGCCCCTCCGTTTTCTTTGTAAAGATGGACAGAGACTTTGGTCAAAGACAAGTCGTTTACTTACAGGAAGGACAGAGACTTTGGTCAAAGACAAGTCATTTACTTACAGGAAAAAAGAAAAAAAAAGCTTCTGTTGACAAGCAAGTGTTCGTCCCTTAGTATGTGTGTGTGAGGCAAAACTAACAACTTATTTTCATTATTAACAAACTCTCAGTGCACGCCAGTGTTAATTTCGTCGACTAATACTTTTATATGACGAGAAAAACAACACGAAAGGAAATAATTGACAATACGGGGAAAAGGGAATTTGACATGAACGAAGTCCAATCAGAGTTAAATTCACCATGTAACCAGGCAGAAACAAATGAGGACGAGGACGAGAGCCAATCAGGGCTACGTTGACGGAAGTAAAACGTAGCAAACGTCTGTCAGGAAATAGAATAATCAGAAGAAAAGCCTGAAGCGGCTACGTTGACGGAAGTAAAACGTAGCGAACGTCTGTCAGGAATAATCAGAAGAAAAGCCTGAAGTGGGAATAATTTGGTCTATTTGTGACGCAGCGGGATCAAAACTCAATATTATATTTCTCAATATACATGTGTATATAAACATAAAACCTGACGTAATGGGGAATAATTTGGTCAATTTGTGACGCAGCGGGATCAAAACATGTCCAGTAAAAAAACAAAACACAGCTTTGTTTATTTGTATTTCTCAATATACATGTATATATAAACATAAAACCTGTCGTAACGCCGTAAATGCAGTTCCCTAATGCGTATTCATACTCTTTAGTTAAGAAAATGTTATAATACAAGTTTTATTTTATTTATTCCGAATGAATCAAAATTACATTTAGTGGGCAAAAATAAAAAGTTGCAACTCAAAAGCTTATGACTAAATTAAACTGCTTGTCAAAATTAACACTGGTGCACATGAAAAAAATATATAAAAGAAAAGTGAATATGATAAAGGGGACGATGCAAAAGTGAAAATTAAAGTGAAATTAAATTTAGGAAAAAAAAGAAATTCACCTGAGGGAAGAACTGGAAACGTTAGCAGTTTTCTTACTCAGTATTGTGAGCTGAAGAATAATTTCCCCTCATCTGTAGTTAGTCTTAAACGGCCAAGTCTGTTGTTATTATTAGACTCTGAAAGTGACACAGCGACTCACTCAGGGCCTGATTCACTTTCTCCTTAAACTCTGACTTCCAATTGAAGCTCAAGGATTAAAAAAAAAAAACAGGTTCACTGGCTAGACTTTTGCATTAAAACACACAATTCTGTGTGTTTGTTTATGCGTCACACCGATGCTACAGCCGTACGAGGCGGAGGCGGCGCGGCCGGTTATTTTGGAGTGACCTGCGGTGTCTGATGTTAAATCTGTCCTTGTGTCGTCGTACAGGCCCGCAGTTGTTTGTGTTTGTGGAAGGAGGTTAACACAGCCAGAAAGGAGTGCGCTGGTTATTTACGGGCCGGCCTCCCTCCAGGGCTCCCGGCGGCTGCACGGATTCTTGCGTCCACGCAGGAATGTGCAGCCCCTCATGTGGCCGGCCGGGCAGGCCCTGCGTCAACCAGGCTTCAGCGGTGCATGATGACTCGCAGCAGCAGTGACCTGAAGTCATCATTGAAAAAAAAAAAAAAAAAAAAACAACCCCTGTACAGTGTTGTCCCTCTACACAGTGGTGTAAATATGTCTGATAAGCAATTTAATGCATTATCAGGAAAAAAAACAACAACAATATCTTCATTTCGTTTTTACTAAAGTTGCCATTGGTGAAAAGACTTTAAATTATGTAACGGAACTTAATGTATTTCATGGACATAAAGACGCGGCTTATTCTCAGATACCAAAAATTTGCCAATGTGTGTGTGTATATGTACACATATGTATAATTGTATACCATACATACTTGCTAATATTCGATGCAGTTTAGAACTTAACGTTGCCGTGCCACGTCTTTATTTTCATGAACTTCAGTAATCACCTGACCACTTTAACTTTAACTTTATTCCAAATAAAGGTTGAATCTGGGAAAATCCGACAGGTAAGAATCATGGATGTAGGATGTGCCATAAGTTTCTCTAAACATGTCATTCCAAAAACAAAAGAAGCTCAGTAAAAGGTGGTTTGCACATTGTTTTTTAAAGACTGAATCCTAACTCTGCTAAAATGCTGAAATATTGCGGTTGCTTGTAAATAACCTTTTTTCTTTTTTAATTTATTTACCAATTTTATTTAATGTGTTGATGCACTTAAAGAAAAGGGAGAATTGTTGTGTGGATGAAATAATAAATCTCGTGTTATCTTTTACTGCAGCTGTGTTTGTTTTATGTTTGTATAAGAAGTGTCATGTAAAAAGAAATTGAAGCACTGTTTTTGGACCGGTGGGTTGCAGGTTTCAATTTTGGGGAGCCTTAACTGTAAAACATTTGCTCAAGAATTATAAAATGCCTTAAAATAAAAATGTGTCTTTTATTTTGACATCAGCACGAAGACATTGTTCATCCAGTAAATCATTTTTATTATCAATTAAGGTACTTTTCGGTCTTATTTGAATGTTTGTTTTTATTTTATTATCAGTCTAGTTGTTCTTTTATTCATCATCATCATCATCATCATCATCTATCACTTTATCTTTTTCAGGGTCACTGACGGAACTGGAGCCAATCACCAGGGGAGGGTGAGGTACTGTACAGCCTGGACAGTTGACCAGTCCATCACAGACACATCATTCAAACTCACCTTCACACCTGTTGTCATGGTCATGGTTTCCCAAACCTTTTCTCCAACACAGACCTTTTGTAGATAGAACCAATATTAACATTTAGCATTTCTGGTTAAATTATTAATTCCAGTAGATAGAACCAATATTAACATTTAGCTTTTCTGCTTCGTTCCTAAACACCACTCTGGTTCAGTGAATACGAAATTGATCAGTGTGTGTGTTATTGAAAGTCACCAAAGTTGAGCAGCTTATTGTAAATTCAGAAAACCTATATGACCCACTACAGCAAAATCTAAAATTCTAATGTGGCCCAGAGACTAAGTTTGGTTTGCAGTGAATTAGACTGTTTTATTTTGACTTTTCTCAAAGTCTCTCCACAAACTTCATATGTTTTTTGGACTGAGACCAACATCCAGAGGTCATGTGTGTGAACTGTTCTGTTTCTCTGACTTGTGCTTCACTCCACAGGCTTTTCTAAAGACCCATGTTACACAGGACATATCGTAGGTGTGGACAAGATGTTTGGCAGAGTCTGACCAGTGGAGGGAGTCCCTAATGCCTGAAGGTGCTCCTGTGTGTGTGTGTGTTCACTGTCTTCACACTCACGCAGGTTTTAACACAATCTCAGTCTCAGACATCGGCTATGGTGAAAAACAGACACCAGGAGTCGCTGCATTTAGCTTTAAATGAATCTTTAGCATGAAATATGAAAGGTAGCTAACATTGATCTCACACCAGTAGTTAAATATCCAGGTCATATTTAGTAGGTGGTGATGCAGAGACACAAGAGTGTTAGTTGTACAATAATATCAAATGTAAACTTGTATGTGCAGTATCTCAGTTCTGTATATACAACACTTTTAAGGTTACATCCAAAAGCGTTCCCTCCTGTTCCATTGCCTACATGCACAAGTTATGCCATTAAAAGAAACCACTTTCGTCGAGTCGTTCCAAGAAAATTGAAATTCCACTCCAAAATAAACAAAGCTGCCGCGTAACCTTCACATTTGTGGCCTTTCTCCTCCCGTTGCACTACAGCACCGCTGGTTCACAGCCAAATCCACCGTCCTGATGGAGATAGAAAACTTCTTTTTTACATTTCTCAATATTTTAAAGGTTGCAGTTGGCTGTTGCATAGGATATTCTGGCTAATTGTCACAAGGTCAGTGATTTTTATCTTTGGCACTTAAAGACAGGAATTTGTTTTCCAGCTTGGAAACATCTTACTCGCTGCTCCCAGTGGAAGAAGCAGAGGGAGAGAGGCTGCCATGAATATGCTACAGAACGCACCGCAAACTGTCTCAGGCTCTTGACTGGAGCAGTTCATCCAGATGGTGGCAGGGAACCATGTGGGATCCATGTCCAACCTTGAGGCCAAGGCCACGACCACATCAACAAGGCCTTTCCAGGAGTTCTTGGAAGAAACTCTTTCGCTTCAGCAGCACGTGTGATTGGCTAATCAACTCTACAGAGCATTAAAGGTACAGTGGGTGAAAAGGTTGGGTTCTTGTGATTGTAGAAAGCTGAATGATTGAGTCAGTCTGACTGAAACCTGACTTACATAGTAGCTTGAGTCAAAGAAGACTAAACCACTAGCCGCTAGCTAACAGCTTTACGCACTTGGACTCGGGTTAGCAGGTCCTAAGCAGTGAATACAGGACACTTGGACTCGGGTTAGCAGGTCCTAAGCGGTGAATACAGGACATATTCAAGTCTAACAATGTCACAAAGTGGACTAATAATTAATCTATATTAAAAATGAATACACTAAAATACAATTTAAATACAATTTTTTAAATTATTTTGTAAATATATTGTTGGTCTGGTCAGCTTGGCAATGATTAGCACGCTAAGCTATTTATTTTTTTACACCGTTTTTTGTTTTTTTTGTTACTCCTGAAGTAGTTTGACAGTGATGGACTTCACACTGAAACAACGCAAAGCACGAACACACACCCTCCTCTGGAGCCATATATAGCTCTGGGCCTGGAATGCTTTGATTTTTTTTTTTTCTCAACACCCAGATCTGTTTAAAAGACAGACTGCAGATGTGTCTCCCTGCCTCTCCCTGTGATCGCCAATAACATCAGTTAATGCCTCCAACAGCAACCAAACACCACGGCTGTTAGGATTAAATATGTTTCTAATCTGGTCCAAAGAGGGTTTTTTATTAATGTGACATTTTATCTGATCTGTTTTTGGCTTCCGTATAGTGATGGTGAACTGTTTTGTTTTTTTTAATATTCTGAAATGGAATTAAATAGGGGGTATTGTTTTTTGGGATTCCGTAGGGCTGAGCTGAATAAGGAAAAATCCATGAGGTAGTCCACCACTTTTCCACTGGACTCCAGGCACTTAACATTCTTTCTACAAACATTTGAGTATTGATCAGATTTGTATTACATAAAGGGGATGGGGGATGGGG